ACGTAATACCTATGGAGAACATCAGGTGACTATACCAAGAAAGATTCAAACTGAAGTCCAAATTAATGGTCTACAGTAAATATAAAGAAACTTTAGCAGTAGAAAAATATGTTACATAAAAAAACTTCACATAAAAAACTTCATTTGAAGCCGGCAGAAAGGTCAATCTCTGCTCAGTTTAGAGCCAGAGTACTACCACAACTTATTAAAACTGGCCGGTTTGTTGACAAGATCTTGGAAGTTGACTTTGCATGCTTTGAAATGAACAAAAAGGTTAAAGGCGAGTATCATTCCTTTTTTGTGCTCAATTTATGAAAACTCCAGGAAAAATAGTACGAAATGGGAAAATGAGCGATAGGAAGCTTTTGTATAATAATTGGTTCTTGGGCGGGTAATTAATGTCTAGTCAAATTATTGTGATATTATTTCTCTTAAGTCTGTACTTATATTATAAAGGATTTATTGTTGGTTTAAATTATTGTTGATTTGGAATGTTATATTTTAAATTTATATTGTTAATAGAATTATGTAATTGTGAAGAATGCTGGACACACACACACACACACACACACACACACACACAACCATACTTATAGTAATATGTTACGAAGGTTAAGATAGTTTTAGATATTATTTAGGTATTTATTTTTTAGGTATTAGGTATTCATTTAATTATCATTATTTATTTATTGCATTCGTTTTGTATTCAGGCAAAGATACCTATGTTCATTTTACTCTTCACCTTTTAATTCTGTTGACCAGAGGCCACGGCAGAGACCTGGTTTCACATAAAAAAAACTTCGGTCAGGTTCCCTGGTTAAATACTTTTAATTACCAACGTTACATGGTCACATGCCCACATCTTACCCTATCAGAAACAGTGTTACAGTCCTCTCATGGAAATCCTAGTCAACTTAGACAGGGAACTGACTTAAGTTGATATGTGAAACTGGGGCCTGTTCAGTTGTTGTGCAAAAACCTTCATCTGGCACAGAAGAAACGTGCACAGCTGGTGAATAATAGGAAAAATATAAGTGAAAAGTCATTGAAAAAAACCCTATGTGACCTTGGTAGAGGGCTGGGCCAGTGTATGTCAATATAGAAAGAGCACAAAAGAGAGCCTGTAATTGTCTATAGAGATTTGTCAATCAAAAACTGTGCGATTTTTCTATCAATATTTTCGGACATTGGGCAGCGCCAAGAGTCTTAAGTTAGTTTTAGTTAGTTTGTGATGGTTTATTCAAGCAAGATTATTAGCAGCAGGTAGACAGTTTAATTATGATACGGATATTGTAACCGAGATAAGCTGCTCTCAGCTGACGCAAATCAACGGTAGCTGTTACAAAATTGCACGGATTTAAGCCGAGTTAAGTAACATCTAGATAGGCATGTATCAGAGAGAAGAGATAATTAAAGGTCCACCATATGGGATTTTCCTTCCAAAATTAATTTTTCTGAGAGGCAAATCAACGGTAGCTCTTACAAAATTGCACGGAGTTAAGCCGAGTTAAGTAACATCTAGATAGGCATGTATCAGAGAGTAGAGATAATTAAAGGCTTACCAAACGGGATTTTTTCCTTCCAAAATGAATTTTCCTGGTATAAAGAACAATTTTTTCCTGCATAGAATTTACTGCTAACCTGTCCCTGCACTTACATTTGAGGTTTTATTCCTTTTTAAATTTGATAATTTAGTTTCAGTCAAAGTAACATCGTGACTCGGTTTTACACAAGAAAATGGGGGGGGGGGGGGGGGGGGGGGGGGGTTGTATGGCGGCCATGTGCCGTGTATAACACAGACGTTGCAAACTGGCAATGGCTTCTAAAGGAGACTCAGATAATAATAATAACACAAGGTATACTTCAGAAAAATTTTTAGGGTTTTAAGTGTTTTATTGTCTTTTGAGTCTGAATTGGGAAATATAAGAAGCATTGCAGTCCATGAATACGACTGTGGGGGATTTCAAAGCTTGGAGAGAACCTCAAGAAATTCATTTTGGCAGGAAAATTACGTAGAGTGGCTTTTTAAGCCAGGTGTCATTGGCTACCTGTTATATTGGCTACCTGTTGTTTGCCTGAGTATCTCTCTCTGGATTTAAATGTACCGATCATAATTATATATTCTTTTAAGTTTTTGTTTCAACGATGTAGAAACCAAGAACATGTTTTATTTCTTTCTGAAACCAATGAGCATATATGAATATGATTATAGTTAGATTCATTATTGTTCAAATTTGTTTTGTTTACTTTTGATTAAACGTTGTTATGTCATTTGCACGTTCTCGTTTTTTTTTAATTACGATTTTGGGGTATCATTTCAGAAGTTTTCTTACATTTGCGTAAATTTCCATTTTTTATTTGCCAACATGATTTTGCAATAATCCATTGCTGGGACAACTTGTTTAGATGGACCCGGGACCAAGCAGCTTTGAATTACAATTACTCTTAAATCTTTTTTTTTTTTTTTTTCATTTCTTAACTTTTTTCATTTATTTTTACTCCCATTATTTGCGTTACAAAACAAATTGCGGTAACTAGCATCCAGTGCATTTCTGCCGTATGAGTTAATATCACATCGGTGCTATTTCACCTGCATCTGAACACGTGCCCGTACACGTGGACCCATTAGCGTAAAGGGATGTGTTCAAAATAAGAAATATTCAAATTTAATTTTAAATGCTTCTATATAATTACAATTAGACCGCACAAATATCAAACTAATTAAAACTAGAATAAAACCTGACTACTTAGATATTTAAATTTGAATTAAAATCCATTCCATTGGCATGCATACAACATACTCTGTTAAAATTTCTTTATCTGCCCATTTTGTATATCATTCATACTGAAATATCAAGAAAAATTGATTAATTTTTTTTTTCTTCAGATTTTTTTTTTTTTTTTTT